GCACATGTATATCCTTAGCTGCCTTTTTGAGGAAGAGATCAACATGGGGTAAACAATGAGCATGCTGTGCCGAGTGGTAGCGGGGGGTAGCTTCAGCCTCGGGCGTTTTTTTTACCTGGGACTAGGATCGAGAGCTGCAGCAGTGGCAGTGGCAGCGGCAGCTCACTGTTTCTGACAATGCAGAATGAGATTACATTGTGCATTTCGTTCTGAGGGCAAGGGACTGGAACTACCGAAAACCTAACATTGCCGAAGGCAGAGACAAGGGTGAGAGGTAAGAGTGGGACGAAGCATTTAGGAACTTAATTAACTAACTGGTTAAACCTTCTTGAAGGAAATGCAGGACTCTAACTGCAGACTTTCTCTCTATAAGCCACCTAGTACCGCCCCTTTTTCCGTCCAATTTCAGAGGAACAGCAACTGGCATTTGTTACATAAGTCTGTGCATAATGAAGCAACCGGTTAAGCCTTTTTCTTGGAAATTTCTGAATCATTTAAATGGGGATATTGGACCAACGGCAACTTACTTCTACAACTTATGCCAGCTGGAGTGAAACGGGCAGTTGACACTTCCTTAAAGAGAAACAGTCTACAGGAATATTCAAACATCCTACAATTCACTCCTAAATAACTACAGTATACTTACATATGTACATACTCGTATGTGATCTGAATCAGCGCTGCTTTATGCCTTTTGTTCCAATACCAATAGGAAGGAAAGAAACAAGAAACTGCGCAGTCTTCGTATCTATCTATAAGAGGAAACAACATTCGCACATTGCCGGCTGTCAAATCGTTTGTTTTTTGCCATTGTACACCAACACGGATTATCCCCTGCTCGGGTAGAGAGGCAGAGAGGTAGAGAGGGCTCCCAGTTTTCATCTTAATTCTGTGAAGATACTCGTGTATTTTGTTTTCTGTGTGAATTGTTGCAAATGGTTTACGCCTTCCCCCCTGCAACTGTGTGCGTGTCTTTATGCCGTGCCTCGTCAGTGTGATCTGAATCGGCAGGACTATTGTTAGACGGCAGCTATGTGTGTATATCGTTTACCTGTGCCGCGTCAAATGGGCGTAGGTTGTATGTCCTTTGAGTAGAGTGCGGCGAGCTACAAGTCGCCTCGGCCCCGGCAAAACACAATGCGTGAGGTTTCCATAGAAGCTGTCAAAAGACGTAGCCCTAGACCGATCAGGATGCAGATGTTCATTTCTTGTCTCTCGCATATCCATTACAATTATTTCTCCTATCATTTGCCCTGTTCTGATGCTAATGCCACTACTAAGGGCAAGGTGTGCGTAAAAAAAGAATTATCCATGTACGTATTCTGTATTGCAACATCATTTCACCTTTTTAATTGAGTGTAGAACATTTTTCATTGCACTGTTTGCAATGAGCCAGCTGGGGAACTCGGATTTTTCCAACGGGCCTTGTTTTGTACGAATCCCAAAAACAGCCTCAACTTAGGTAACATTTCAAAAATAATATTTCCAAAACCAATTTTTAATTACTTAATATAAGGTGCATTTGGCCATTCCCAATCTAACGTGCTGCGACATTCGTACGAATAAAAAATAAAAAAGAGAAAATTTTATATTTTATTAATAACTTAATAGCACTATATGCAGTAACAAATTAAAGCATTCGACCTTAAAGCTTATGAAATATGTATAAGCGTAAAAAAAAGCCCTGACATGACGTGACAAAAAACTTGGATAACAAAATTGCAAAACACTGCGAATTGAGAAGGACTTTTTGCTTGATTTTTTTTCAGTAAGCTTTAAAGAAATATAAGTTTATTATTCCAGTTATTTAATTAAAAAATTTGTACTCGTTTTTTTTTTAATTTGAATTATTGTCTGACGTGACGTGACATAGTTTCCATTGGGAAATTTGTATCTAAGATTGTTTTTAAAACATTATTTAATGCAAGTTTACAAGGGCGTAGGCAGGGGGGCAGGCTACAAAAATGTTTGCCACATAAAGTCGACCACACGTTCATTATTATGACGCTCTATTTCGTCTTAAAATGGATCTGAGTTTGATTTGTTGAAGTTTTTTCATTGATCATATGCATAAGTTATTTTTTAAATGCATCGTGCATTATTTAATGAGAATTTGATGATTCCACCTGCTTAAGCCGCAATTTAAAGTAAATTGAAAATAAACAAAATACCATGCAATGAAATTATTTACAATCTGACGTAACGTTACACACATTTGCAAGTCAAAATAAAAATAACTATTTGCTTGATAGACAAAGTTGTTATAACAATTAGTTAACTTTATTAAGTTTTGCAATAAGATGGTCTTAGAATATACAAAACTGACCAAAACCTGAACTTAAACTTTGTAGGCCTGTGTTTTGCCATCCAAACTAGGTAGAGCTCTGAACTCTTTAATTTAATAAAATTTTAACATTTCTCTTTAAAAAAGAAAAACTGTTTGTTAACTTTTCTGTGGAAATGCGGTGCATATATTGACTAATTACTAATCCAATACAAATTATAGTGTTCAACAGCTTTCATTTGAGTTGAACTGCATTTATATGAGCTTTTCAATAATAAATAAAAAAATATTTAACGAATTCAATGCTAAAGTTGCACGAGCTGGACCTTTGCTTCCGCAAAGTCCTTCAACTTTAATACACTTTGTTGCCCCAATCGATCGTATGGCAGCTATACTATGAAGTAGTGAACAGAGGAAACTTCAGATTTACTTAAGGCATGTTAAAAAGTACACATACATATGTACATATGTAAATATTGAATTTGCTTTATAAGCAAATAAGTTTTTCCTTCATAGAGTAATTTTTTGTTGTTGAAAACCCTTTAAACACCAAGCGTTGTTCATGAAAAAGTTTGCTACTTGTTTTATGGTAATAATGTATATAAAACAATGAGTCCCCATATGGATTGGTGTCCCTCGCTATATTTATGTCATGTCTATTTATTCGCCTAGTCATGTATGTATGTATAGAGTCTATGCCATAGACCTAGTACTGCATGAGTTTTTCCTTATTTAAACTAAATTATGATAACGGAAGTGATTTACGGAAGTGACTTATGTTTCCTTTATGAGTAACAAATTATACCCATCAATGAAACACAAATTTTCTCTATGGACCTGCAATATAAGCAACACATTTACTCACATACATACATACACTTATTACTAAAGAGCAACATAGCAGAGAAATGTTGCTAAGCTGTTTCACACATCATACATACAACATACCTCTAGCAATTGTATAACATAGCACACAAATATAGTGCGACATACATTGCTACATTTGCCGTGCAGCCTCTGCTGTCTCACACGTATATGTATACATACAAACATATTCATTATAACATAAGAGAGTAATGTGACGAAGCACGCACCTACCTAAATGTCACAGCATCTGTTATTTTACACGGCCATACATATTCCTTATAACATAACACAGTAATGTAAGGAACCACACATACATACCTACATAAGCATTCAGCCTATGCTATTTCACACGCACATACATATTCTTTAAAACATAACATAGTACTGTAGCGAGCCACATTTAGCTACATACATAAGCATGACAGACTATGCTGTTATGTGTCAGCAGTATAACATAACAGATAAATGTTCCGAAGCACACATATGTACCTACAAAATGTTACAGTCTATGTATGTAATGCTGTGCATGCATATAGCATCAGAACAACATAACACAGAAATGTACCGGGAACACACACGTGTGCAGCTTCATAGCTCTACAGCCTCTGCTGCCTCAGGCTTACATACATACAAACATATTCGTTATAACATATTAGACTAATGTTGCGAATCACACATACATACTATGTTCATACATATGCATAGCAACCGTATAACATCACAGCGTAATGTAACAATGCACACATAGCTACATAAGCATTGCGGCCTCTGGTGTTTCACACGCATATACATATTCGTTGTAACATAACAGAGTAATGTAACGAAGCGCTGTTTCAAACGAGCATACATATAGCAAGAGTATAACATAACAGTGTAATGTAACAAGGCACACATACCTATATCAGCATTGCAGCTTCTGGTGTTTCACACGTACATACATATTCGTTATAACATAACAGAGTAATGTAACGAAGCGCTGTTTCAAACGAGCATACATATAGCAACAGTATAACATAACAGAGTAATGTAACAATGCACACATACCTACATAAGCATTGCGGCCTCTGGTGTTTCACACGTACATACATATTCGTTATAACATAACAGAGTAATGTAACGAAGCGCTGTTTCAAACGTGCATACATATAGCAACAGTATAACATAACAGAGTAATGTAACAATGCACACATACCTACATAAGCATTGCGGCCTCTGGTGTTTCACACGTACATACATATTCGCACAAGCAGTAAAACATAACATGGCAATGTAGCGTTGCAGCCTATGCTGTCTTAGACGTGCATACATACATACATATATCAGTAGTATAACATAACAGAGAAATTTAGCAAAGAAACACACATACCTATGTATTTAAACTCAGAAGCCTCAGCTGTCTCACACGTATGCATGCACACACATATATGACTACACCATAAATTAACAGAGAAATGTTGTGTGCTCCCTTGTCCGAACTTGTTCGAACTTGTTCGAGCAGCATATAATTCTCTGCCTTAAATTGAATTGGTTTCATTCGTCTCTTGAACTCTGCGCAGTACGTACGGTGCGGTGCCCTTCGCTTGCGCGAAAACAACAAACGAACGAACGTGCGACAAACGCTTGCGTTGCAGTTGAAGATTGTTTTCGGTTCGGCGGCATTCGAATTGTCGTTAAATTGAATATTTTTGGATAACAAGTTTGCGTGAACGATGATCAGCATGTGTGAATCGAGAAGAGAGAAATAAAGAAATTGTGAATTAAGTGTTAAAGTGTTGTGGGCCATGAATGTGCATGAATTCTAGCCTAATTCGTTTAAAATTTATAATTTGTACATACATATACTCGTATATGTACATATGTATTTACATAACGATTGTAAAATTGAATGCCGACTTTGAGTGGCATTTACCTTTCACTCGCATTTGGATTACACATATTGATTGGGTCGGATTTAAAAGCTAGCACAACGAACTAGGTAAGTCTGTGTTGCCGCAACTGCGGGTAATTCGGAGGAGGTAATACCCATGTACATATGTATGTATGTACATGGGCACATACATATGTATATAGGTATGTGTTTGTTGGTCATAAATGTCATTAGTAATTGCATGCAGCGAAATTTACATATGCGGGGTTAGTTTATGCACGCATTAACGGCCGCGGTGGCGAGTAAAATTTAGAGTTGTGGTCGGAGTTGGAGTCGGAGTCAGGGTCGGGGTCATTAGATATGCACACGGTTGGAAAGGACGGTCGCCATCTAACCCTTTGCGACTAAACAAAGAAAGTAAAGCAAATGCGAGTTAGGCGCGACTTTTGCGGCACAAGCTGTGCCTTTCTTCACTTTTGACTCTAGTTGTTTTTTGTTTTTGTTGTTGCTGCTGCTGGTGCTGGTGCTGCGTAGTTCCTCATTATTTCCAATTGCTCATAAGCACATGTGTGTGAGTCAGAGCAGAGGGCAGCTTAATTCGCTCTCATTTGCCCTATGCTTGTGTGTTGTTGGTTGTGTGTTGAGTGTTGTGTGTTGTGCGATTGTGTGAATGTTCGTTGGCTGCGTTCACTTCGCCTCAGTTCGCTTCACTTAGTCAGTCGCTTTGCCCATTTGCCAGTTTGGCATTTGTGTGCACATTTCGAGCATTTAAATTTAACCTACATACCAAGTGGTGCGCAGTTGCAGCAGCGCTGGCTGATGATGCGCCGATCCAAGCCAAGCCAAGCCAGGTGATGGTGAAGGTGATGGTATTAGTGATGCGATAGAGACGGGCTTTGCCAAAACTTTCGGCTGCAGCTGCGCGGTGCTGGTAAAATGAAGGTACGAGTGCAACAACCAACCAGGGGAGCCATCGTCGTAGTCGACAGAGTCCACAGAGTCGACAGATCAGTGAACGAAGTGATTTAGTGCGGGCTTCTTCGCCGTTCTAATGCTTGAATGTTTGAAAAGTGAATGTAACAACCTATTTGAGTTGTTCGTTGTTCAGTGTTAGTTGGTGTTGTTGTTGTTGTTGTTGCAATTTCAGACAGGCATTGTGAAAGGAAAAACTAATGAGCGGTACGACTGGGGCTGTATCTGTCAGATACTTTTGAAATTATTGACTGTCTCGCAATGTGACACCATTTGTACACACACTCTCACATTCTCACACTCAATCATTTATTCAATTTCATTTGAATGCACGTCTACCGCTCTTCTGGGATTGTTGTTTGCGATGCACATTGCCGAGCTTGAGAAGCAGAATTAACACACAAACATACAGATATACAGACATATAGTACAATCACACCAGCACAAGCAGAGATAGACAAAGCTGGGGCTGTCTGTCGATTTGTGAATCATGTGGGAGTGTAGGCAGGTCTGTGAGCTAAGGCTGAGCAAACAATGTGGTGATTTTTAAGGTGTGTGCGCGCATTGTTTAGATGCGATATGATGATGTTGAAATTAACTCGATTTCATTGGGATTATTTTTTTATTATTTTCATTTTGACTTTTTTCTTCATTTTATTCGGGCGCCAAATCGACCATCGAATAGAAACAAAAACAACAAAAAAAAAGGCTTAGCTCGCGAGTCGCGAGCTTTTGACGCGCCTTTTGAGATGGGTCGCACTTAGGCACTTATGTACCTCCACTGTACATAATCACATTCGTATAAGTTTTGAAGAGAGCGAGTCACTTTAACATTTATCATAACAAATTGATCTTTTGATGGCATTTCAGGCAACTACAACTACAACTACCTCAAATTGAAGAAACGAATTGAGCTCCCAGCTCTACCTCAATGCAATTGGAGGGACATAAATAGCACAAGTTGTTGGAATTCGAAAAGCCGAATAGAGTTTCAAGGCTCAGAGAAACAACACGAGTAGGAACAACAACAGGCAGTAGGAATTGAAAAATGGCCAAATCCAAGAGACATTCAAGTTTATCGCTGTCATCGTTAATCACACTTTTCAAATGCTGCCTACTTGCCCGACTGGCCCAAGTGGCAGCAGGCATGGCCGGACCCAACGATGTCTACAGCATGGCCGGCATGAGTTGGGATCATGCCGTCGATTTAAATGAGGATTTTCGTATTTTATGGACGCACATTAATCAGGATATAACGTTTGAGATACAAGCTCGCACTATGGGCTATGTGGGATTTGGATTTTCAGCAGACGGCCAGCTGGCTGGCACCGACATTGCCATCGGCTGGGTGGACGATGGCCAGACATTCTTTCAGGTGCGAAGCTCATTTGTTAATTCGCTTGTGTGAGCCCAGCTAATATTTCCCATTCCCTTCAATCATTTTTTAATGCTAACAGGATCGTTATGTCGCTGCTGATGGAGCTGCAGAGCCGCGCGTGGATCCTTCCCAGGACTACATATTGATGATGGGCTACGAGAATGCGACACACACAGTCATTCGCTTTCGTCGCAAGCTACAGACCTGCGATGAAGAGCACGACGTGCAGATATCGGTAGGTGTGCCCGTTATTTAAATTATTTAAATGTCTTATTAACCCTTGAACTTGGCACCAAACAGAACGATACGATGCGGGTGTTTTACATGTACGGCATGGAGGATCCTAAGCACAGTCCAGTGGGCTTCGCCACTCTGCCTAATGCCGAGGATGCTTGGCGCTCTCCACGCTCGCTGGTGCTGACTCAGCGGCCCGTGCGTTCTCAGCATCGACACGACCGAGTCCTCGAACTTAAAAACGAGAACGTGGAATTGCCGTTTGCTGACGACACTCTCACCCATTGCCATGTCTTCAAATTGGATAAGGTCCTGAAAGCCCCCAATTGGCACAAGAAGTTCCACATGACCCGGGTAAGATGGCTGCTGAAAAGCTCAAATTGATTACGGAGTTAATCTTATCTGTTTGCCTTTGTAGTTCGAGCCGTTGTTCGATTCCTCATGGGCACTGCACTACATGCAGCAAATTGTATTGTACGAGTGCCAGGATGACGGCTTCGACCTCGAGCTGGAGCAACTGTCGCGAGAATCCGGTCGGGCTTGTGCTGGTGCGCGGAGCGTGTCGCAGCAATGCAATGCTGTTGCTGCCGTATGGTCGCGTGGCTCGGAAGTAAGTTTAATCGCGATAAAAATTGATATAATATTTCCGGCGGAGGAAAAAAGTTCAAGCTTTAATGGCATGCTGCTTCCCGTCCATTTCACAGGGCTTCTCATATCCGAAGGAGGCCGGCTATCCACTAGACGCAAAGAGCGCGCGTTACTTCCTGATGGAGACGCAGTACTACAACCCCAAGTTGGATTTTGAGCAGCTAGACATGCCGAAAATGTACGACAGTTCTGGCCTGCGCATCTATTTTACAGACCATTTGCGAGCCCACGATGCAGGCATGATGTCTATTGGAATGGAGCCCAGCTGGCGCCACATTATTCCGCCGGGCCAGCGACGCGTCGTCTCCGAAGGCCAGTGCCTAGAAGACTGCACAGCCTATGCTTTTCCTGCCCAGGGCATAAGTATTTTCGGCGTCTTGATGCATACCCATCAAATCGGCCGAGAGATGAAGTTGAGGCATATACGTGACACAGAGGAGCTGGCACCGATTGCACACGACAAGCACATTGATTCGGAATTCCATGAGATCAGGCCACTCGACCAACATGTCCGCGCTCTCCCTGGCGATCGTCTAGTCGCTGAATGTATTTATGATAGTTCTGGACGCGCTGCCATCACGCTGGGAGGCGCCACCTCAATGAAAATGGAAAGCTGTACAGTCTATACCATGTACTATCCGCGTCAGTACAAGCTGTCCTCTTGCCTCTCCCTGCCCAGCTTACCAACAGTATTGCATTCCCTGGGCATTGAGAAGCTGGCCACGTAAGTTCCAAACTTCTAGCCATTTGGGTTGGCAATTTTGACTTAAATTAAATGTTGTTGTTGCTTTTAGGAATCTGAACCCCATCGTTATTGCATCGCCCGCTGAGCTGGCTGGCCAGACTTTGGAGTCTCGTCTGTTATCCTACGATTGGAAGCATCAGTTTGACATATTCCAACGCAAAACACTGGAAGGATCTTTCAAGCCTGTGTGCCGCGGGCTACGAAGTGAAATGTTACCCGTAAGTTAAAAGAAAAGCACAACCGACCATCTTTGAAAATATTTTTAACACATTTCCTTTGCAACTCTTTGCAGATATCCGACAATCTTATGGGCTATCGAGTGGAATTGAGCAAAAAATATACGCCGCCGCGACATTGTAAGCCGCGCAGACTGTTCGTAAAGGAGAACACCAGCGGCAGCCACCAAGTTGAGTTGCCCGTGTTGCACGATCTACAAAGCAATCACATATTTGTGAGCGGAGATAATGGCTCCGCGCGAAGCAGTCGCAGCTCCTTCATCGAAACATTGGCACTAAGTGCCGCACCACCGAACCATTTTCCGCACTACTCTCTGTGGCTGTTGTGGCTACTGCCCTTAGCCATTGTTTTCAGCTAGGATTGTCCAGAACATTGGTCACTAGTTGTCTCACGAGCAATATCCATTGTGCCCCCTAAATGTTATGATCTTAAACAAATATTTTTAGACTATCGTCCTTGGGTGTATAAAGAGGGGAGGGTTTAATCAGAGAGTCTACCAAAGTACTGAAACTTTCTATTAACAAACTTGATGTATCAGTTTGTACTGTGATATGCATAGGTAATACTTTTGTAAATTATATCTTTTATATAAGAGTTGTATTGTGTTAAACCCACTAACATAACATAGGAGTAAGAAACGTTAGCCTAAGCAATAAAATGATCAATTATAATCAATAAAATACACTGAACGAGTTTTCCTTTAAAACCATTGGGCATTGGCGGTGGATGGAGTGAAGGCAGAAGGCAGCATGTTGTTGGGATCTGCGAGTATACGACTGGTCCATTCAACCGACAAAAAAGGTTGAGTTATTTTCTGGAAATAACACACCCCATTAAGGCAGGTGCCGTGGCTGGAAATGGAAGTTAAATATGAATTTGGGGGAAGAAAAAGTTGTGCCATCATTTGAACTTGGCGATGAGGTGCTGGAGAAGCGACATTCTGCTGCCTTTAAATCTAATTGAGAAGCGTTTATGGCACTTTATGCTGAAGTGTTAATAGTCTCCATATGTAAATGTGTTCGTCCGCCTCGTGCCGGCATCGTAGTGCGTCGCAACTCGCAACTCGCAGCTCGACGCGTGCTCTAGCGATTAAGGAGCACGTGCTGGGTGCGACATGCGTCAGCATTTGCAACGGTGCATATCGTTAATAATGTGGGCGTGCGCTCTGGAATTATGGAGTCTACGTCTTAGTCTAGGGTGGCAGTGGCAGCTGAAAGTCTGGCCAAATTGAACCAATTTGCGGGCTTCCAAACGGCGTGCAGCTGAGCTGAAAGTTGGACCCACTCTTAGACATGGACATGGACATGGGATACGCCCGTAGTTGGGAGTGGAGTGTGGAGTGTTCAGTAATTTGAATATTGTGTGCCTGTCAAAATTTGAGTAAAAAGAATCAACAATAATTTGTGCGGATGTTTGGTATGCACACATTCGTAATCGGTTCAGTTCGGCGAGATGAAAGAGAACTTGAGCATGCAATCGCAGACGGAGCAAGATGATTCAAGCCAGCAACGGAAAGCGAAACTAAACCCAACAAAGAACCAGTCGTCGTCGTCATCGTCATCGTCGTCGTCAGTTTCAGTAGCTTGAGCGCCAAACCCGAAGCAACCCATTCATGACAAAGACTCTGGAGATAAAGGCAAGCTACCAAACAGCACAATTATACTGACAGAGTCAGGGGCAACGGCAGCAACGCCAAAAACTATTCAATTTTTATTGTGCTAACAAAGTTCCAGCACACACACACAGCGAGAGAGAGAGAGAGAGAGGGAACACAAGAAGAAATCCAAAGAACGCTGCCAACAGATGCCGCCAATACATTTTGTCTGCTCAGACTATAGCCGCCGAAATTTGATAAGCGGATTATGGCTCAGGTAACCGATGCGCGGTGTGTGGCTTGGCCTTTGAGAAGGGCTTGCATTTTTTGAATTGAGTTTTAATCTGAACTTGGGCAAGTCAGGTCGAGATTGAAGGGGTTTGCTTTTGTTCAGCGTGGACCATAAGCTTAGACTGCTGCATGATACGAGTACCGTCTGTCTAGCGGATGTCTCTGACACCGCCAAAGCAAACACGTATCCTTGACAGGGCATCAGCTGTACTCGTACTTTCTCATCCAATTCTGACACTTACGGCTGCCATCCTTTTACAAACGTATTAAGATTCGTTGCACATTTGGACGTTGGCTTCTGTGTGCTGCCGCGTTGGTCCAGCTGCTGCCAGGACCTCGCTTCGGCAACCTGTTGGGCCGCCCACTAGGCAGAGCATTGGGCGCCTACTCCTTACCTACTCTGACGCAATCTTCACGGTGGTCGCGTCTGCGTCTGCCTATGCGGTGCGTCTGCGTGGCGTTTAATGTGCGGTTGCACAGCCAACTCAATTAGACGCAATTTTCAACAGGTAAACGCGAAGGCCACTTGTGTGCAAGAACGTTGCTTGCCGGCACCGGTACCTGGCCAAGGTAATGGACTGGTTGTCCATTCGGACACGCTTGCTCATTACGCTTCGCGTTAAGCAGTAGCATCTGAATCATCATGCGCTATATATTCCAAGTCGCTGCTAAATAACTTATCGGCTTAGCCTGTCAGAAATGAGTTACGTCCGAACGGGGCTTGTGAATTCTCGCTTCTGGTAGCTAAATTTGGTCCGATGGCTTGGACAGAGGTCGGGAACAGTGGCCGTGGGTGTGTCCAGACGCACTGAACGATTAAATATTTCATGTTGGCAGCGAAAAGAGAGCAGCCAAGAAGATCGGCCATTTCTGCTGAAACGTCTAAGAACTTAAGCGGATTTACGCCGTCCGTGGCATCAAAAAAAACTTCAGAAAGTAAAGATCATTGAATTTAGTCGCACTTTGTAGTTGTTGTTGGACGTTTAACAAAATAAATGTATACTATGTGTAGGCAGACATTTTACCACCTCACCTAACAATTGTGAAATACCAGGAAAGTGTAAAGAACTGAAAACTATGTCTACTGATATAACTTATTTGTATTAAATAGAAACTGAGAGCTAACTAAATTAAAAATAAAGGTAAAAAAATAAAAATGAACACATTCTCCAGTTTGGTTTTTATATCTTCCATATCTGATTATTATTATTGGGGTTATTATTATTAGTTTAAGAGTAGTTTCTCCAGATTTTCTTTTTCTATTTATTTTTTTTTTTTTTGCTGCGGAATCGGCTTTTAGATTAGGCCATATAACACGAGAGATTGACATTTATTAGATATGAGACCACTCTTACAGATTTTAAAACTGCACTTAATTTTGAAATAATGATAACAATGAAATATCTTTATATTTTTATCTTCCAATAACAATGAATTATTTATACTTCTCTCAGAATATATTGAAAAGATATGGACTGGTTATTATTAGTTTAAGAGGAGGAAAATTGTGGCCTTCACTCTTAGATATTCGTTAGGAATTCATTCGATTAAATATCTTGTTGTGAGAGATGCATACTCGTTATTTAGATTATTTCTTCATTTGTGCTGGGCCTTTGGTTTCTTCAACTTTTAATATAGCTTCAGACATATTATTTGCCAATCCTTTCATATTGTACAAGTAATCCGCCAGTTTAGAAAAATACTTTTCCGAGATGGGGACGAAGCGTGCGCGTCTCACAGACAGCTTCTGTTGTTGAATACTGGATGAACTATTTGCTTTGGCAGTGGTTTACTTTAGTGGAAGAAAGGGGAGGGATTTCGGGCCCGTTGCATGCACGTAGTGGCCAAGCCTCTTATCTGGCTGTAAAGTTAAAAGGGATGTCAAATGGATTTCCATACATTTTGTTTCCATTTTTCAATTTGCGTTTGTTGGGCGCTTCTGATACATATTTAAAATACATTTCTGACAGCAGCACAGCTGCTACCTTCGCCGCACGCACTGAAACCATTGAGGGGAAGAGTGGACCAAAAATTTGTTTTTTTCGCCCGCCTTAGTTCTGTGGCACACCATTCACACCCAGCCCTGTGCGCTGCCGGGCTGCCGGGCTGCCGGCTTGTCGCGCCACCAACACGTCAACTGCGGCTACGGCTGCGGCTGGCAGTTGCCTTTGTTTGGGATTCGGTCCGCACACATCTGATCCCATTCGAGTGCACGTACGAGAGTAAGTCGCATCATTCGTCCGCTGCCACCATAAGTGTCGGATTAACACTTTGAGTTCCCCAAGCGACTCGGTGTTTTCTAACAACAATTGAATAATATTTATATGTCACTCAAATTGTGACAAGCGCTCAAAATAAGTTTGAAGTATGACATTTCTAGAGGCGGTTCGAGCCTCAGACTGCTTTGCAATCAAATGCCAGATTTGATGAGGCGAGTATTCGCAACGACAACATCCAGCAGAACGCCGGAGCCCTAAGAGCTGTTTGCTATCTTAATTAGCTTTCTTGCACAATGCTTCGTCTTACCTGTAAAGTGCCACGCCCAGCTACCAATTCTACCTGTCTGGCTTCCGCTCCGGAACTGAGGGGTGGGCGCCTCATTTAACAAACAGCTATTAGCTCTGTGTGTTTTTTGGGAAGGGCGACGGCGGCGACTAAATTGAGATGGTTGAGCAATGGCCACGGTTAGTCGAAGATACTCGCACATCGTCTGCAAGTACAGTACAAAGTAATGCAGTATTTAAAGTTTAGAATTTCAGTTCTTAATGGCCCTCAATGGTGGTGGTCGCCGTCCCTCGATCCCTCCAGTGCATAGCGTGGGAAAAACGGGGTGCCTAAGATGCGTGAGCGCTGTTAATTCATTATAGCATTATTGCGACCAATGAAGATTTTACCACGCTGTATTTACATACACGTATACTACACATACGAGTACGTATACCAGGGAGCTTACTTATTATAAATAAAACTTGTTCCAATGCAAGGAAATGCCCCCAATAAGTAAGTCCGGAAAGTAGAGGAGATGCAGACAGCGCTTGAAGTATTTATGAATATCCATAAATAGCTGCTATTTTATGTTCGTGTTTAGCAAAATATTGCCACAGCACGTTGAGCATTACGCCGACTTTTAATAGCAGCAGTCTTACAAGACCCAGTGGAACTACATTAAAATCGAATCTGACACTAAAGCACTGCCTATCACACGGATAGTTTGTGTAAACCCCCACCGCCGAAAAGTAGCTCGAACGCTCATCAATTATTTGAATAGAAAACGCCACGCAACACGCACGCTTCCCAATTAGGAGTTGAAATGAAATCATTTCGGAACTGAGGGGGGACTGTTCAAATGCTCCTGCCACTCCTTAAATAGATGCGAGACTCTCTCTCTCTCTCTCTCACACACACACACACAACTGAAACAAACTACCATTTCGTGTTTAAATATGAACTAGTTAATCGGGGACCATAAATCAATGGGAACTTCTTTAAAATTATTTGAGGAAACTGTGTAATACCCAGTATCTGCTTACATTTGTATACTCTTTACATGAAATGTATAGTACAAGAGTATATTGGGTAACAGGCAGAAGGAGGCGTGGCAGTGGGGTCTGCCTAGTATATATATATTCTTGATCATCATGACAAGACGAGTCGCTCTATATCTGTCCGTCCGTATGAACACCCCGATCTTAGAGACTATAAGAGCTAGAGACACCAAATTTTGCACAAAGATGCCTTATGTGTGTACGCTACATGAGTTTGTTTCATTTTTTTGATTCCCCTCTCTCACTCCCCCA